GCCGAGCCGATTATCTATCTCTTCAAGGCCCCGTCTGCAAACGCAGTCACATTCTGCGGTACTAATGGTTCAAGCTTCAACACATGAATTTGAGGATGACACAGTTTAGTCCAAAAAAGTGATTATTTGTGTAAACTGGGTTTCTCTACCTCAGCACTTCAGACATTTCGGCTAGATCACTCTGTGGTGAGGCTGTCCCAAGCCCGTGTGTTAACACAGCCCCCCACCTCAGTGGCATCCATGCAGTGCGACCACCAACAGTGTCCCCAGACATTGCCGGGGATCCTCCTGGGGCCAGGTTGCTCTGGTCCACAACTAAAGCTGTCAGCAAGTTTATCTAAACATGCTTTACGATTCGCGTGGCGCGATTTGTCTTGTTGAGTGAATGTGGATCTGCTTGGCCGTCTGTTTAGGGAGGAGGGTGCTCGTGTCCTTTGCTCACCTGTATCTTCCTGCTGTGACTCGTTTGAACCACTGATTCACTGAACAGCGTGATGTCTTTTTAAGTTCACGTTGAAGGTTTAAATGAAAAACTTATGGTTAAAGGAAAAAGAAAGAAATCAGGTGACCTAAGAGGAGGTGCCTTAAAGAGGTTCGGATGTCCCACCTGGAATAATGGAAGAGTGCTGAGTGCAAAGACAAAAATTGGGGGCTTAAAAGAAAGAACCCACTTCAGGCAGCAAAGACATAAGTGGACTGCAAATTTGAGGTTTCAGTGGTACATGTACACATCCAAATATGACAAGCAGAGGGAAGTAGCTGGGACTTAGGCTGGTACAGAGTCTGGGGTCAGCATGTGGTGTGGGTGAAGCTTTGGGATTGGCTGCGGTGCCCAGGGAGCAGAGAGCAGGGAAGGGATGCAGGGCACAGAGCCTGGTCCATCACAGGGAGGGACGTGGGGCATAGACCCTGGTCCGTCACAGGGAGGGACGTGGGGCACAGAGCCTGGTCCATCGCAGGGGAGGGACGTGAGGCACAGAGCCTGGTCCATCACAGGGAGGGACGTGGGGCACAGAGCCTGGTCCATCGCATGGGAGGGACTTGGGGCA